GGTATGGCTGTGGAATGGGGTTTGGCTGAGGAAAAATTTTCAGTCAAAAGATTCGCCCCTGCTTTAACCCCTGCATTGTCGCAGTACAGTGTTTATTATCTTAATGTTCTTTTTGAATGTCATCATTCAAAGCGTTTCTGTCTTCTTTCATTCAGTTAGGGATAGCTGGCTGTTTTTGTCCATATTAGGAATTTCCTGCAGTGTCCTGAGTTCTATTTCTTTTATAATGTATATGTGGATTTTCTACATGTGTTCATAGCACTAAATAATGGCCAATCCATAAAAATAATACTACTTTATTTAAATAGCATTTAAAAATAGCAAAAAAGAACTAAACCAAAAACTGTGGTAAAAAAATAAAAAAACTGAGGTATTTATTGAACCGTGGGCTAACTGTATTGTTGCATCCGTACGGTTTACTCTGAAATACTGTATAACAGGAATATCACAAACTGAGTGCAGACCCTGATTATTAACCTATAAAAAAATATTTAACATTAAATCTTGCAACAAGATTCCCCACCCCCCCGTCATCAGCTAAATGAGGCTAGAGCTTACTGAGTGGAACAGAGCATATCCCAGAGAGCACTGGAGTGAAACTGCAGGGCATAGAGCACAAAGCCAGCAGACTTGTTGCAAATGTCTGTAAATGGAAAATCAGGGACAACATTTTATTTTATTTTTTTGCTGCATATACACTGCCATTCAAATGTTTTTAAGAAATTATTTTATTTTGCAGGGATACATTAAACTGTTCAAAAGAGACATTTCAAATAAGTTCTATTCCTTTTAACTATCAGTTCATCACAGAATCCTGAAAAAAAATGATCAGTTTCCACATTGTAGCACCAGTACCACTGTTTTCAACTTTGACAATAATAAGAATCATATGATAAGCACCAAATCAGCATAGTAGATTGATTTCTGATGGATTCTGTGACACTGAATGGCTGGTAAAAATTAATCTTAGCATCACATAAATAACGCTTTAATATTACATTTTAAAGTATATAAAAAAAATATTTGTTTTAAATAGTAATAGTATTTCCTAATATTAATGTTTTCTGTATTTTTAATCAAAGTAAATTCAGCCTTGGTGAGGAGTCACAAGAGACTTCTTTAAAAAAAAATTACAAAAGTCATGCTGACATTAAAAACTTTTGAACAGTAGTGTATATTGTTGGTTTATTTGCATTTTGCTGTCTGCAGGGCTAATCAGAGAGCTAAGAGAGTTTATAATTTAAAAATGCTTAATTTATCAACATACATTATACCTGGCTTATATTATTTGACCAGACCTTTGTCACTTTTAAGCTGTATTATGCAAAATGCCAGATTTATGTATCCATAGTTCATCCACAAAATGGTGTTCTTTCTGTTCTCCTTCTCCTCTCCATATAGATCAATGGCACAGTGACTGAGAACCTGTCTTTGATAGACGCAAAGAAGCTTATAGAGCGATCGAAAGGCAAGCTGAAAATGGTGGTGCAGAGAGACGAGAGGGCGACACTCCTAAACATTCCAGATATGGACGATAGCATTCCCTCAGCTAATTCCGACAGAGATGGTGAGATGATCCTAGTTAAAAATGTACATCTAAAAAGAATCTAAGATTAGACTTACGGTCAGACATTAACTTATGACTTTATATTTTACATCGTGTTCATTACATGGCTTTCTTGTCCTTTTTATTTTCCTTTTTCTTGTAGAATTTTTGTCTTTTTCTAAAAGTCAACTTGGATTAAATTCAAACTTGGAAATCATGATTTGTTTCAACAGACATTTCAGAAATTCATTCACTGGCATCAGATCATTCCCATGAGCACACCCGTCGCAGTCGATCCTGTTCCCCTGACAAACGCTCAGAGCCCTCCGACATCTCCGGCCACTCTCCACAGCAGATGAGCAACGGCAGGTAAGAGACACCAGAAATGCTTACATTAACCAACTTAACTTTTCCATTAGTGCCCCTTAATTCACTGCCATGGTTAACGTCACACTTTGGATTGTCTCACTAATTTAGAGAGATGAATATATACTATATGATATGCATGCAAGTCACATCTCAGCTACTAGCAGGTTCAGATGGCAGCTAGAGCAGTAAAGCTGCATCGATCTGCCTAATGACAGAAGAGTGCTCTGATTGATTACTGGTCCTAAGAGATATTTTAAGGTTTCCATCCCCCTTACTCCTGAGCCTGCTTTAAATGTTATTATTAATCGTATGAATCAGAATAATCAGTGAAGCAGATAGGACTGATTTGCACACTTACAGCTTTAAGAAATATTACACTTACTGTCACTGATTTGTATTTGTGTGAAATATTTTTTTTTCTTTTTTCGTTTTGTTTTGCTTGCAGTCACAGGAGAGTGTAAGTGTTGGTCATAGTGCAGTGAGCTGGCTGACCGTAACTCAGTTTGACACTACAGTAGAGCTGAGCTCATGTAGCTGTCTTAACTAACGTAGTAGATGTGTTCTAGCACTGTAGACGTGAGAAGTGTTGACAGCAAGTAGTCTGATGATTTCTTTCAGTGTTCTTTGTGTGTATGTTTGTATAAGAGACAATGAAGTACAAGAATCAGTGTTTGGATATCTGTTGTATGATGCTACAAACTAGTAAAAACCTCAAAGGTTTGGACATATCAGCTTGTCTCATATACCATATGCCATTTAGTTTGTGTGTGTGTGCGTGTGTGATCGGAGTAATTTTAGCATGTCAAATTAGTTAAGTTAAAAAAAAATCAAGAGGCGACTTGTTGCCAAAGAACTTGACTATGACTAGTTTAATTTATCACCTGAGAACATGACATGACAAGTTTATTTACTGAAAGTGAGGTAAACTCACTTGGTGCATCACAAATATAATGTATATGCATATATAAACACTAGTCCTTTACCAAAAATTACTGTGGTAACCACAGTTTTTTACCAAAATATGTACTAGTTATTATTCCAAAAAACAAAAACAAAAAAACAAAAACAAACATAGAGCTATCAATTTATTGTATTTATTGTGTACAAAATTTTTTGTAACATTTTCTTGTTTCTGTTTTATGATTTGAGTCTCAGGTAATATCTTTATCTTCATTTTGATGTGTGATTAATTGTTCAATTAAAAGTTGATTAAAGGGGTCATATGATGTTGCTAAAAAGAACATTATTTGGTGTATTTGGTGTAATGAAATGTGTTTAAAAAAGATTTTTTTTATAGGTTTAAAGGGGGGAGAGCTTTTAAAAATAATTGCATATTAAATCGCAATATTGGTAAAAAAAAAAAATCGCAATTAGATTATTTTTCCAAATCGTTCAGCCCTAATAATGACTTATGAGTTACGCCTTCTTTCTTTGCGTGAACATTTGGGCGGCGTTATGCAAATCTTCCCACACAGTGACGTAGACATGTGGTGGCGTGTTAGAACGAGCCGTTTTAGGAGGGCGTGGTTGACTCTTAACTTTTATAAAGAATATCTCTTTGGATTTGAGACTTTAATCTTTGCAACTTTACAGATCTTCTTTATGCACCAAGAGTTTGTAACACTCCAAAGAGAAAGGAAAAATTGAAATCGCATCATATGACCCCTTTAATTAATCAGATTTTTACATAATTCATGTGATTTAAAATTGATAGACAGCCCTAAATAAAACTGGATGAAAGATTCTCTTAATTATAATTATATGCTCCACTATGTCAATAACAGTACTAATGATATTATGTTTATGGAATTATGGCGGAAACTGTGGTTACCATGGTACATTTTATAAGTGGTGGATGGGGGCCAAAGAAAATCATGAGAGATAAGTAGAGTGTGTAAAACAGATGGAAGTAAGACAGAAAGAGCACGAGATGGTGTTTCCAGGAGCTTGTGAGTATGTAAAGAGACAAGGATGAAAAGGATGACAATACCACGAGGTGCCGGTCCTTTCCCAGGGGATACGCCATTTTTCTTGGTATTAAAGCAGCTGCTCTCTACTTCCCACATCCCCACACTGCCGCAGGCTGTATTTTAATGAAATTTCACACCCCACGTCCCCACACATCCTCCACCTGTCTGTCTACAGCAGCGTCTCACTTAATATCTGAACTCAGATTACACCTCATTATCGGCTCTCTCACCTCAACAAGACACTGATGCCTTTCAAGTCTCAGAAAACTGCCACAGCTGTAACAATTTCTAGCGTGTGTGTGTGTGTGTGTGATTGAGTGTGTACATAGTCTGCTTTGCACATGTTGACAGTGTCTGTAATATTAATAGAATCATCGATGTCCACTGAATGATATTGAATATAAAGATGCTAGAGCTAAAGTCAATTCAGTTTTCATTTTAATTTTCAGTTTTATTTTATGGCACATTTCTTATTGTTCCAAAGCAGATTTACAAACAAATATTATAGTGCCTAGCAAGACCCCCAGTAAAGTCAAACTTGATAATGGCAAGGGAAACTCTCTAAGATAAGTATGAAACCCTGGATGGAACTAAGACTTGCACATATTTAAACTAATGTATGTTTCTTTATAGTTTTTTTTTTTTTTTTGCATGGATGCTTTAAATTGATCAAAAGTGAAAGTAAAGACATTCATAATGTTACAAAAGAGTTCAAATAAATGCTGTTCTTCTGAGCTTTTTATTCAGCAAAAAATCCTGAAAAATGTATCGCAGGTTTTCAACATTGTTTTTAACATTGATAATGTTTTTGGATGTTGATGATAATGTTTCTTGAGCATGAAATCTTCTTATTAGAATGATTTCTAAAGGATCACGTGACACTAAAGACTGGAATTATGGCTGCTAATTCCGCTTTCCCATCAAACAAAGAAATTACAATTTATAATATATATTAAAAATAGAAGTTATTATAAATTGTTGAAATATTTCACAATATTGCTGTTTTTAATGTATTGTTGATTAAAAAAAATGCAGCCTTGGGGAGCATAGTGTACATACAGGCATACAATTATTAATGTGAACTGATTTAATCAAGCCACATTGAATAAATATAAACTGTCTCATCTCTCTTCACTATCTGGATGATTAACAGGACTGGGCATCATGGGAATGCTCTAGGGTCCTCCTTCAGCACCACTACAAAAATGGATGGTCTAAAAAGTAATTTACTGGACTTGGACTGCTAGATTTGGAGGCATTTTGGGGGATAATGAATCTGTTTGTCAGTGAGCCAGGTTAATATCTCAGAGCCATGCATCACTCACTCGCTGTTGAATAACTGCTCTGTCTCTACACAGGCTGAGGGGCTCTTTTCTCACCAGAATGCTCCCGCTGTAAGTGTTGTGCTCTGTACACAGTGGATAGTTTTTGTAGATTGAGTCTGAGTGCATGGATATTAGGTTGATTTGTTGTTTGTGAATGTGTTTTTTTGTGCAATTTTGTCATAGTCCTTTTAATGTGTGGGTCCTGCGTTCTATATGGACAGTTTAGTTTGTAAAATGCACTTTTAATGCATTTGATGTGGTGCATTAAAATGTGCTTGTAGTGAAATTAGCATGCATTCTGTCATGTTGAGCTGGTAGCGCAGAGGCAACTAGCTCTGTATGTATGTGTGTGTGTGTGTTTGTGGAAACTGCCAGTGGGTGTCAAGGCTGTTGTGCAGAAATGCGCCTGAATTTATTTTTCTGCATGTGTGTTCATTAACCTTGGCACACAAGAGACAACACAATTCCCTCTGAAATTTGCATCACCAGATGGGTTTTTCCTCACTGTACAAGCCACAGAGATGCACTCTCTCTCCTCTGTCTGAGCTGTCAGCTTTTTAATCTATCTCCTTTACATAAAGTTTCTCAAGAGTACTTAAGTGTGTTGATTCAGTGTTGTTTCTGTATTAGGATAGGGTAGGCAAGTTTATTTATATCGCCTAGATTTACATTCCATACACAATGGTAATTCAGAGTACTCTACATAAGCGTAATAAAGAAAATAAGAAGTAATCGGCTTAAATTCAATGATTTAAAACTGCTTGGGGAAAGAAAGATTAACCTACATGAATCGGTTAAATGGATTAAATCAATTAAAATCAATAAAAAAATGTTTTTAAAAAAGGTAAAAATAAGACAAATTTTAATTAAATAATGAATTAATTTGTGTATATGTATGTATTAGTATTTTGTGTATATTTTACATTTTAAAATAATGTGTTAATGAATAATTTCAGAACAAAGATTAACCCATTTTTTTTGTTCTTACATAAGATATTCTTGAAGCTGGATCCAGCTGTGTGTGGCATAATAACCACTGTGTTTGCAGTGAGCAGTCTGTATTCCTTGCTGACTCAAACGTAGTGATGTAATAGGTTTTCTAGGTTTATAGCCTATTCTATATTGCATATTTACAAAATAACTTCACCTGCTGTAATTCATACGTAAAACAAAGAATATTTTCCTACTTGTAATAGAAATACCAGTTTAATGGCTTTTCTTGCTGTGTAATCACAAGAAAATAGTCACAAGAATGGTGTTCATTTGGGGAAAAAAGGTGTTTTTATACACAATATTTTTATAGAGATTCAATGCACAAATGCACATAGAAGCATTTCAATGAGATTGTAACAGGTCACATGAGAAACAAACGCAGGAGAATGTGAGTGGAGGATTTAGCCTGTGTGTGATGGATGTGTTAGTACAGAGAAAACCAACAGAGCAAAGGAGAGCCTGGACTTTATGTAGGCCTGTGTGTGTGTGTGCGTCTGTCTGTGTGTGGCAGTGTATTTTTGTGCATGTCCAGGGCATAAGAGATTTAAGATAAAGTACACTGCTAGGCAACAAGGACAAGGTCTCTTTTTTTGTTCTGACAGATAAGCATTTAATATCTCGGCAGAAATCTGTTTGTTTTTACTGATTCAGCTAGCACAACAATGCTAATTGTTCATTGAAGAGAAAAATGAAAATTTCAGGTGTGGTCTGTTTCCTGTCTGAGCCATACTGTACCAGCCATGTGACTCTAAAATCTACCCATAATTCTAGAGTGCAGTCCTGATCCTAAACTCATCATACACTTCTTCAGCTTTCTGTGTCTGTACACATCCAGAAATTAGAATGTGCAACAGTGAGGAGTTGTGATGCCTCAAAGCATTTTACATATCTGTGAGTTGTGTTCATGTTTACAGTTTTAAAAGAAGCTCTAATACAGGGGTGGGCAAACTTGGCCCTTCCAGGCCACTTTCCTTCAGAGTTTAGCTCCAACCCTAATCAAACACACCTGAACCAGCTAATCATTGTCTTCAAGACTACTAGAAGGCTACAGGCAGGTGAGTTTTATCAGGGTTGGATCAAATCTCTGCAGCAAAGTGGCCTGGAAGAGCCAAGTTTGCCCATCACTGCTCTAATATCTGTCCTAATTTTTAGCAAGAGAAAAATTCAACTGTCTGACATAAAGCACTGGCATCTGGTGCTGTCTAATGAGCAATCTTTATCTCTGCTGTTTTCAAGTATTGTTGTGTTCATGATCCTTCTGTTTTGTGCATGTTTTTTACACACTCTCCTTCAGGATGCTCTCATATTCAAATGGAACAAATATAATGTCTGACTTGTTATCAGAAACTTGTATATGTGCTGATCAAAATCTTATGTACAGTTTGTGAAATGCCACCAGTGTTTTTGAGGTCTTCAGTAACTTGCCCAACAGGAATTTTTGCTTTCATCATGGTGTCTGCCTGTAAAGGCACCTCTCATTATTTCATAATATTAATGTGTTTGATAGTGTTTTTTAGTATTTTTGTTTTTTTTTGTTTTTTATGCATGTAGCAAGGTGATTACAAATAAGTGGTCATTTAATACACACATAAAAATATTCTTTGCCTTATACAATGTAGCCTAAAATCTTGATTTTGTAAAATAAAGTTAATGTCCATGTTATTTGTCAACTACTTATAAGCAGAGACAAAACCAGGCTCAGTTTGTAACTGTGAGCTTTGTGTTTCTGTAGCCACAGGAGTCGCGAGGAGGAGCGCATCTCCAAACCAGCGGCGGTATCCACTCCAGTTAAGATGACGGAAGATGCCCTTCTGGTTCCGCCAACAGAACAGCCCGGGGACAAACAGATCCCTCCACTGCCAGGTTGGGACTTTCACCTCCAGACTTTCAACTGTCTTCTGTCTTTACTTCTGCTCTCCTTTTGTCTTATCTCTCCAGTCCAGTGGCGTGTGGCAACTTTTTATATGATGTGGCAATGTCACCTTGTTGTTTTATTGTTTTTTTTTTTTCTCCATGTGATGATTACTATATTGGCACATGAAACATAATTTATCTAGCACATTGATCAAGCAACCAATGCTACAATATTTTTGCATGTTTAAGTTAACAATTTAAGTCAAGTTTTTAGATGACTTCTAATTAGGAATGCTCATTTTAACCAGTTAACCGTTAACCGACCGTAAGAATTTTGACTGATTAATACAATCTGTTAAACGGTTTAAAAAGGAATTTATTATTTTTTTTTCCAGTGATTTATCAAAATATTTTAAAAGGTTTGCTGCATGGTTAAAATACACTACGCATCTAAAATAAAATTGCGTTTTTTTAGAGAAAAAAACATAAGTCATGTATAAGTCGCATTTTATTATTTCATTCAGAAATAGGCCTAATGCCGATGCGAAATGTTTACAAACATTATAATAAACATTGTAAACATAGCTAGGCTAGACTATTTTAGTTCCCCTCACTCCACAGCAAATCATTTGAATTTAGTATTCGGAAAAGAACAAGAATTAAAAATATAAGAAGCTATAGCTATGTAAGCGACAAGCCAAAAGGAATTCATTTAGGCTAAAACGAAACTGAAACCAACATTGGGTCTCTCATTCGACACAAAAGTAAATGTTTCCGTATTCGCAATGTATTTGAATGACAAAATATTATTTATTATGTAAACCTGGTTTTGTAGGCTACTTCACTCGCGTTCCAATATCCACGTAAAACAAAATGTGTTTGGCATAACATCAAGGCGGTACGGTGATAACGCTTAACGGTACAGATTTTACTACATTTAAACTGAGCAGTGTTTTTTTTCCCCCATATGTTTGACTTATGACCATATGTATTTTATTATGATAATAAACAGGCTGCATTGTCAAGGAAGCAATGCTTAACTGTGTGCGGCTCCAGCACAGTCACTTGAATTTATTCCTTCTAACAGTGGAAGCAACTAGGGCTGGGCGGTATATCGAGTTTGTATGATATATCGATATTTTCTTTATAAGTGATTCGATATGAGGCAATACCGTTTATATCGATATACATCAGAAGTGCATGAGCCTTCTGCTTTGGGATTCTCTGCTAAACTTCTCCGCTAGACTTAAGTGAACGAGCGCCACCGCGTGCATGCGCACCAAACAGACAGATCTCAATTAAATAGGAGCGCAATAATTCTGACTAAAATATTGCCTTTAATATGTATTGTTTTGTTGGACAACATTGGGTGGTAAGTGAAATATAATATATTAAATAAACTTTTTTGTAAAAAGCCCAGTCCTAGAAGCAACTACTTATTTTAGTAATAAAGATAATCAGAATTGTAAAAGGTTTGCTTTTATTTGTGTACATTCACAATAAAAACAAATCTTTGTGCTTTTGTAAAATAGGCCTAAAGAAAAATAGGATGCCGCTTTCTGCCGTCTTGGTTTTCTTTCGCGCAGCACAAAAATGAACCAAAACTCTGCATACTAGGCTACTTGTTGCACAGTTTTTTCTTTCGTTTTCTTAATTTATTAAGTAAAAATATATTTCTCGTATAGGCAAATGTTAGTATTTTTAATGGGTCACAGACACATATCCTTTCTAATTTAATTCAATTCAAATTTAAAATAATCTTGTCGGTTAACGGTTAATAATCTGTTAACGAGCGTTGGTTGTTGGTTAGGAGAAATAACCGAAATGGATCCCTACTTCTAATAAAATAATAGCAACAGTAATAGACACAAATTTTGTCTCTTTTATATAGTACTACAAATGCAAATTTTGTAATGTCCATCAATTTCCACTGACTTTTTGGATTTTGTTACAAACATGAAAGTCAGATATTATTGCTTTGACAGAGTAGTAAGCCAATTCACAGCTCTCTTTAATGTGACTGTTCAACTATATTTTACAGCAAGGCAAAATAATGTGATTTACATAATATTTGTGTGTATATCAAACAGCGTGTAAACCCAATGTGCTTCCTCACCTCCTTGGAGAAAACGCCCATCTTGTTCCTACTCCTACTCCCAACTTTCCACTGATCAAAATCAGACCTCTCCTCTCCTTTAGATTTCTCTCTGTACCGTGCTGCTGTTTACTCCATTCTGTTCTGGAATGCCTTAATCTGACCTAGCTTCGGTTTATTTCTGCATGTTCTTTTTGGTCTGATTTATCACCTGTTAAGAACTTGTTCTTAAAATAAATGTTTATTACATCACGGTCAGAGTCTAACCGAAATGTGTGTTTAGAGCCGAAACCAGTGTATGCACAACCTGGGCAACCTGATGTTGATCTGCCAGTCAGCCCCTCTGACGCCCCTGTGCCCAGTGTCACTCATGATGACAGCATCCTCCGGTCAGTATTGTTGTATATTCTGTACTCGCATCATGCTCCCAATTGCCTTTTCTAGTGACTTGAATTTACTAGCAAAGTAAACTTTCTGTATTATTGTGCAGATGCATGTGTACAGATAATTAAAAACTAAGCCAGTTTTATTCTCTGTTACCAGGCCTAGTATGAAGCTGGTGAAGTTTAAGAAAGGCGAAAGTGTAGGATTGAGGCTGGCAGGAGGAAATGATGTGGGGATCTTTGTTGCTGGTGTGCTGGAAGACAGTCCTGCTGCTAAGGAAGGCCTGGAAGAGGGAGACCAGATACTCAGGGTGAGGACGTCTTTTACATTCACCACTAGATACAAGTAACATTTAAAAGTGAGGTCTTGCGATATGGAACTAGCATCAATTTTAAGACCTGTAAGACCTTCGTTCATCTTCGGAAATGAAATCTGAGAGCTTTCTGACCCTGCATAAACAGCAAGGCCCAGAAAGTTAGTAAGGACATCGTTAAAATAGTCCAAGTGACATCAGTGTTTCAACTGTAATTTTATGAAGCTACAACAATACTTTTTGTGCACAAAGAAAACAAAAATAATGACTTTATTAAACTATTTCTTCTCTTTCGTGTCAGTCTTCGACGCGCATTCAGTTTATTTATATAGCACATTTCATACACAATGGTTATTCAAAGTGCTTTACATAAAAGGAAGTAAAATAATCATTAAAAAAAATCACAACAATAAAACAGGGAACTTAAAAACTTTTAAAATGATTTAGAAATTGATTTAAAATGAATTTAAAACCGTTAAAAATAGAAAATGATTATACATAAAATGCAGTGCAATCAGTTCGGATGTAGCACAGTGCTCATTCAATAAATGCACAGCTAAACAAGGTGTAGCACATCCAGGTTACGTCAGAAAACTGGCTCCTGCGTCAGCAGCGTCACACGCACACACGTGGTACTCTGTGACAACACATCGACTGACATGAAAGAGAAGAAATTGCTAAATAAAGTTATTTTTGTTTTCTTTGCACACAAAAAATATTCCTGTAGCTTCATAACATTAAGGTTGAACAACTGATGTCACATGGACTATTTTAATGATGTCCTTACTACCTTTCTGGGCCTTGAAAGTTTCAGTTGTGTTGCTGTCTATGGAGGGTCAGAAAGCTCTAGGATTTCATCAAAAATATCTTAATTTGTGTTATTAAGATAAGCGAAGGTCTTACAGGTTTGGAAGGACATGAGGGTGAGTAATTAATGACAGAATTTTCATTTTTGGGTGAACTATCCCTTTAAGGATCAATATCCTGTCCTCCTAGTGTTTGCCTAGTTAAAGCTGAAATCTGTATAATTTTGTTAAAAATGACAATGTCATAAAAGTAAATTAATTTAGCTAACATTAAATAATTTTAATTTTTTATTTTATTTTATTTTACAATATATATTCAAATGTCAAACAATTTGGAGCCAAACTGTCATTGTTTCAGTTCTATCTGTTGCCTTTAAATCTACACTTTGAAATCATTGACATTCATTGTGTGAAAACATCACATGTGCAGCAGATACAGTAGCATGCTTAATCATATCAAAGAAATCTTAAGAAAGCAACCGTTTTTTTTTTTTTTTTTCGTTTTTCCTTTTTTCAACTGAACATCTGCTGTTGACTAATCTCCATGCTGTAACACTGTGTAACATCCCACGTTTTCTCAGAAAAATATGAAGACACTGTGTGACCCCTGTGGCTGTGGGCAAAAATAATCATGACACACTCCTGCTCTGACTCAGTGCCTGTCTCGCCTCTTTTTCCAGCTTTCCTTTGTTTAGCCTTCGGCCACACAATGGCGTTCATTGTTTAACTCAAGCCTCCAGTGGTCTTATGCTATTGTCAGTTGCTATGTGTAATACAGAGACTCTAAGTCAGGCTCATTTAGAGTTGTTTACCACTGAGCACATTTTAATGAAACATGGATAGTTTTGTTTCTCTCCCACACAAGTCCTAGAGCAGTGTGTGTACTGTACACACGCGTGTATGAAAGTTCCCGTCCCTGCTGCACAAGCACACACTCCTTAGATTCCAGGCTCTGCCCCACAGAGAGACTCCCAGCTCATTGTTTTTCCCTTTCCATTTTGTCAGAGGTGACTGCATGTTCACCTCTACTCTAGATTGCGACTTTAAGATAAAGTAGAAACAGAAAAGGTGGATTTTCTCTCTCTCTGCTTCTCTTTATTTCTCTTTCCACTGTCAATAAACAGTGTATTGTTAGAGTATTGCACCGCTGAGATCTAAAGCCTGTTTTCTTCTTGCACTCCCTCCTGTTCATAGGTTAACAATGTTGACTTTGCAAACATCATTCGTGAGGAAGCAGTGCTGTTCCTGCTCGATCTGCCCAGAGGTGAAGAGGTCACCATCCTGGCTCAGAGGAAGAAAGATGGTGAGCAGATGCATACGCTTTTCACGTAACGGTCATGTTTGCCTATGTTCACTTATTACATGGTTCTTTTTGACTCCAAGATCCCCACCCTCTTATCGAAGACAATATTTGAAAGCCCTCCTATCTAATCTAATGTGTATCTCCAGTACTTCCAATGCTTTATTAGGCCTCTTGGAATTTTGCTGAGGCCCCTTAGTGGGCTCCAGCCCCCTGGTATAGAACCACTGGTCTAGAATATTTAACTCTTATTGGTCACTCGCAGCATTCATTGGTCAAATGTCTTCTGCAATTAAATATATATGTTTCTCACGTAGCTGCACAAGTATATCATGTCACTTATTATCCCTCTGTCTCCTTGTTCTTCTCGCATAGTAAAATTTGAATCAACATTTTATGTCCATTTCTTTATTTGTTTGGTAAGTACTTCTATAATAAGTGGGATAATGTGCTATCCGCCAGTTATTAAGGGTGATATAAGACCCTTCTGCTTCACATTGGGGGCACGATCACCTTGTCTGGCTTTATTTTAATAATCTCCACCTGACTGTGTTATCCCTTTCTTATATAACTTGCCCTGATGTTTAGTTGAGTAAAATTCAGTCATTCTAAGAAAAATGCTATTATAAAGCTATTCCTCATCACTTCCTGTTGACCACCTAATTTATGCCATGTCCTCTAGTGTACCGGCGGATAGTGGAGTCTGATGTGGGCGACTCCTTCTACATCAGAACACACTTTGAGTATGAGAAAGAGTCTCCATATGGGCTGAGCTTTAATAAGGGAGAGGTGTTCAGAGTGGTAGACACCCTCTACAACGGCAAACTGGGCTCCTGGCTGGCCATCCGCATTGGGAAGAACCACCAGGAGGTGGAAAGAGGCATCATTCCCAACAAGAACAGGTAATCACTCAGTCAAGCACCAGCAGTACACAAACACCTGCTGTAGACATTATATTCAAAGTATACAGATTAGTAGATCATATATAGATTACTATAAAGTTCTTTTTTTTTATCTTCTGTATTGCATGGCTATCTCTATGCAGGTCTATAATCCTAGAGAGAATCAAAATGAAATATATTTTTAACTAAAGCTTGTTCTGACATCATCTCGTCAGGGCGGAGCAGTTATCAAGCGTACAGTATACACTCCCCAAAACTACAGGCGGTGACCGAGCTGACTTCTGGAGGTTCAGAGGTCTGCGCAGTTCAAAGAGGAACCTGCGGAAGAGCAGAGAAGATCTGTCAGCTCAGCCTGTTCAGACCAAGTTCCCTGCGTATGAGAGGGTGGTTCTAAGAGAAGGTATGTATGTATCTTAGAGAAGGATGCACAATATATCAGTTATTAGGCGATATTAGAGAATATAATTTATTATTACTAGTTTATTATTTATCGGTATCGATATTGGATGCATATTGACTGATATTGTAAATTTGATTATTTATGCTAATTTCCCCCTTTTTTAAATTTAAATGACATTTTCCTCTATCTATTGGTCACTTGAATTAACATTTAAAACACTAATAATTTAATAACACAAATTTCAAAAAGAATATAAATTTTTTCATGCTGTATATAATAATATTCTGAAATCTAAATTCAATTATTTTTAAAACGCATTTAAATTAATTTTATTTTAATTTTTTATTTATTTAGACATAGCATAGAACTTGGTAACACTATATTTTAAGGTGTCCTTGTTACACGTGTATTATAATAACAATAAATTATGCATAATTACATGCAAGTAACCCTAAGCCAAACCCTAACCATATAGTAAGTACATGTATTACTCATTAATTAATAATACTCAGTACTTAAATGTATAATACACTGGAACAAGGACACCTTAAAATAAACTGTAACCTAGAACTTAAATATCGGTCATTCAGTAATCTGATAATAGCTATATTTCTGTTTTGTTTAAACTATAACAAAGCTGTCTTTTTCTCATTGCAGCTGGGTTCCTGAGACCTGTTGTGATCTTCGGGCCGATCGCAGATGTGGCACGAGATAAACTGGCGAGAGAGGTGCCTGACATGTTTGAGCTTGCAAGTGAGTGTCCATTTGTTAACACACATGCCTTGATAAGACTCAGCGCTTCAATTTTCTAATCCACCTACCTGTGCAGCATACTTGAACAGTCACACTTGAGCTGTCCTGCTCTCCAGTTTCAGTAGTGCATTTAAAATTCAGCTTGTAAACTGATTACATGAGTGGCCACTGGCTTTATTTACATAACATTGTTCCTGTATGACTGTATTTGCTTTTCAGAGACACAGCACCCAGATGGAAGGGAAAGTACGTTGCATACAGTAGTCACATCAGCTCACTCCATCAGTAACCATAGTTACTAGAGGCTGTGCATTATTATGGCATCCCTTATTTTAGTTACACCAAATCGACACCGCTTGGAATGTTAATGATGAAAAAAATCCAAGATGTGTTCATGCTATCGACAGCTCCAACCTCCCAACCCTTCAGTCATGCTTGAGAGGAGATGAAGGCACATTGCTCATTGATTTCCCCCATCCCAAGCACCTGCTTCCTGTGTTATTTTGTGATTCTTTGGGCTTTTTTGTGTTTCTTTTTTGCTGAAAAGACTTCCTGTAGTTGCTGCTATTTTAGAACCTTGATATAGTAAAGGACACAGATGCTGTCTTACAGGAATGGTTCACCCAAAAATGAACATTCTATCATCATCAATTACTCACCATTGGACCCCCATTGACTTTAGAGAGATTTTAGAGAGAAAGAGAGAGATTTTCTTTTTGATTGGAACAATATAAGGAAAAATAAATGATGCTGGAATATTAATTTTTGGGTGAGCTATCCCAATAATGTATTGATGTCAGGGGCCGTCAATGGCCCCTAAAGGTCAAAGCACACTAGCTTTACCCTCTTCTGGTTGCACTCTTTAATGTTAAATGTTCTTCAGATATTCCAGGCCCCCTCTTAGTCACTGTGGTGTACAGATGCTCCTCCACCCTCCATTTGATATAATGAATATTCATATTTGGATATCTGTTGTAAATGAATATGCATTGCACCACATTGATGTTACACGTATGGAACATGTGAACAGTCTGCAGGTGCTCATATATTGTGTATGCGGGCGCATGTGCACATCCATGTTGAATTGCCTCCTCACTGTATGCCTTTGAGGGGTGAAGATGCTGAGGTACTGCATGAGAGGGAGCACAGGAAGTATATGTGGACGCTACTATGGATTATGTTTTCTCTTGTGTAGAGAGTGAACCCAGAGATGCCGGCACTGACCAGCGCAGCTCGGGGATCATACGCCTTCACACTATCAAACAGATAATCGACCGGGTGAGATCTCACTCACACATACAAAGGCACAAAATGCAATGCGTGAACACACTCTCTCTGAATTGCACTACTGCCTCCTGCTGCTGAATTATGGTACAGCATGTTATTTAGCCGTACACTTGAGAGTCCATAAAATCAAGAAGAGGCGTCTTTGTATGTGTTTTGCAGGACAAACATGCAGTGTTGGACATTACTCCTAATGCAGTGGATCGGCTGAACTATGCTCAGTGGTATCCCATCGTGGCGTTACTGAATCCTGACAGTAAGCAGGGTGTGAAGAACATGAGGACCAGACTGTGTCCTGAGTCCAGGAAGAGTGCCAGGAAACTCCATGAGCGTGCACTTAAACTGAGAAAGAACAACCACCACCTATTCACAGGTAAACACTGATGTTTTAAGGCTGTGTTTTCTTTATTGTAAAAAAAAAAAAAAAAAAATTGGAAAAGACTGAGAGACAGTGAGGATTGGTTCACATGCAAAAGCAGACCCTTGTTCCCAAAGCTTGATGGTATAAATATAGTACCTACAGACCCAGACATACTGAGTGAGGCAGTTTATAAAAACACAGCAACATTGACCACATCTTGCAACATTTCTGCACATGTACACACATTAGTGATGTCCGATTCCTGAATGAATCGCTCTTTTGAGCCACATTCTGCTAAACAAAAGAACTTTGTAAAGTGTGTGAGATTAATAGACTGTAAGTGACTTGAAAAATAGAACATATACACACAAACTGTATCATGTTTCATAAAAATGATTTATGTATCTTAAATAGTTAAACTAGTTATTATACCTAAACTAGTTATTTTATTATAAAAAAATAAAAAATAATAAAATGTCACACATTCTTTTAATTGAAGACATTTTGGGAACTCTTTTGATTGAAGTGTCTTGTGTCTTTTAAATGAATCCAGAGTTCCAAATGAACCAGTTTGCTAAAACGAATCACACACACACACACACACACACACACTGTCACCTCTTTAATGTGAATTAAAAAATGTAGTTCACAGTGATAACTTGGAATAATTATTCATAAAACTGTACATCACATTAAATTTCATGATGGGTCACATTTAGCAGCCTGGCTGCTATCAAGTTTTAGTCGTAACTTTTATGGAAGCACACTGTATCTGGCTGAGCTCTATAATGGCTGTTGTGTTATAGCATTCCTCGTTTGTTAATCACTTTGAATAAAAGCCTCTCATAAATGTAAATGTAACAGGGCAGAAAGATCACTCAGTTGTAAAGTGAAAGAATCCAACAGTGATCCACCTTTCGATGAATTAATGAGCACATAAACGAATTATGTTGCATGCTGTGTGCAGTGAACACTGAGGTGCAGTGAGGTTGTAACTTTTTTTTGCGAAAAAGTTGTTTTTACAAAAACCTGACTCAGCTGGATTCTCTTGAGTGATTTGATGTCTTCCTTCCTGTGACTGTCCTCTAGCCACCATTAACATGAACAGCATGAATGATGGCTGGTATGGAGCGTTGAAGGAGACCATTCAGCAGCAACAGAACCAGCTGGTGTGGGTCTCAGAGGGCAAGGTGAGTTTCATCAAACTTTTCCACAGCGGATGCTTGAGGTTTCAGGGACAGGGTTCATTCGTGGTTGTTTGGTTTCTTGGTTCCATGTTTATATTTACAGAGCATAGTTTGTTTCCCATGCATCTGTTCTTGTGGTCACAACATTCATGTTGACCACTGCATGGTTCATTTGATCAACATCTGTTCTTCCTCTCTTCCTCCCAGTGGACTGAGGTTTGTTTTTGTGATGCTTCACCATAATGAGGTTAAACTCATGAAGTATTTACCAGAACCTGATATATTTCACTCTAAAAATTAAGTGTTGATGCTTTTTGCTAAATGATTTTCACAACAGTGAAGCACACCCCCTCAATTCTTAATGTCATAATGAGAAAAAACAAAAAACTTCTCACATTCTTAATAGTGTTAAGCAAAAAATAAAAGAGATACTCATTTTTATAACAGTGATGTTACTGTTAACTAAAGCTATTAAAAATGGTTTCCATTAATGGAAATAATGCTTTTATAATAATGCCTTAATTGAAATAATGATTTAATGCTTTGTTTTGAAATAAAAATATTTGATGGAAAAAAAAAAAAAAGAAATTACTAAAATGATTGAAGCTAAAACTGAAAAGCTCAATAGAATTTAAAAAACTTTAAACTTAAAATGTAAACTGAAAATATCAAAGCTAACTAAAATATAAGTATTATGATGGTATATAAATAATACTATATTAACACCGTCTCATTTTCTTATTATGGTAATGTAGAAAAAGGCTGTGATTTAAATTGTACTTATAAATCATTAAAGTATTTGGAGAACTGTCTTTCATATTCTTTAAAAATTTTTAAAGCAGTATTGTTTTACCAATATTGTAAGAAATTACAGTAGTATCATGAAAGAATCATACATGAAAACAATATAAATAGAGACAGTAGAACATAAATAACTGATGGTAAAAATATTTGAAGTAAATTTAGGTTATCCTGAATATAATGTTGAAATGTGGAAAAATCTCAAATGTAGGCTTTATTTTTCATGCAAAATATAATTTTGTGAGATTATCCAATGTCATCTCTCTCTTTTACCTTCCACTAATTGTGCACCCTCTCATCTCTCTCTACATGTTGTTCTCTCCTCTTCCTCTCGCTCTCATTGAATTCTTTGGATCTTGTGCTCTCGATCTCTGCAGGCGGAGGGCGCACCTGACGATGATCTGGATCTTCACGATGACCGTCTGTCCTATGTATCTGCCCCTGGTAGCGAGTACAGTATGTACAGCACGGACAGCCGTCACACCTCAGACTACGAGGACACTGACACAGAGGGCGGAGCCTACACGGACCAGGAACTAGACGAGACCCTGAACGACGAGGTTGGACCGCCCATTGAACCCGCCATCACTCGCTCCTCAGAGCCCGTTCGGGAGGACCCGCCCGTCATCCAGGAACCTCCTGGATACAGAGTGTACCAGCCTGAACCCCTGAACCGCATCGACCCCGCAGGGTTCAAGGCCCCTGCACCTCAGCAGGTAGCGTTTCTGCGAGCCGTTCGCCTTCCCTGTTGTCTGGAGGCCGTGGTGTGCTTGAGAAAAGTGTTCTAGCGGCGCTGTTGAAGGAGGAGTGCTTTAAAACCGTATCATTGCAGTACTAGAGAAGTGACAATGACCAAGTAATAATTGTTGCCACGTATTTATTATATGTATTTGTGAGCGTGTAGTTGTGTGGAAGTCTGTGTGTGTGTGTATGTGACAAATGTGACTTGGCTGTTATACTTCACATAGATGCCGTGACTCTTATCTCAGTACGATCACAGTGGAGATGGAAGTGAGGACATTGTATCTTTAAGTATGTGAAATGATTGCCCCATCCTTGTGGTCTAGCTGTCCCCTTGCTGTCATGCAAAATGATGTCATTACCAGAAAGTATTATGTGCATGATGGATTTACAGTGTTAAATATAATATTACTGTGAATGTATTTATCTATATGGGTCCAGTGGCCACTATGATATCCAAAGTGTCTTAGATCTTGTATTACAAGAGAGCCAAAACGTTGTACTGTACTGTAGAATTAAACTGACATCAGACTTAACGTGAAAACAGAACCTTGTCCAGCTGCAAATTATTATATGACATGGTTCCCAGAGTCAACCTATTCTGCATGTTAGTGGGATGTTCCTAGTTCAATACAAGTTAAGCTCAGTGAACAGCATTTGTGGTATAATATTGCAGTTAAAGCACTTAAAAAAGTGGGAAGACTTAAAATGTTTGAAAACTATAGCCACTAGAGATGCACTGATTGTTATTATAGGTAAATATTAAATGGGAACATTAGGAACATTGGATAGACATTGCAATTCATTCAGTTTGTCTAAATGTAAAACATCCAAATCTAATTTTGGTATCACAACATAATATACAGTAGAAAAAAAATGGATATTTATTTTAAGATTTGCTAAAGATTACGTTTAACAGAGGTAGTAAATGTTTTAGATAGGCTGTTATTAGATAACAGCAAAATCTAAATGTAAAAATGGGAGAAATGTGCATGCACAATTAAATATTTAATAACAGCCAATAATGTATATAAGCCATATATAAAAATATATAAAAGCCAATTAAATGCAAAACTATATTAATTACCAATGTATTTTATTGAACTTTATCATATTAAATGATATTTTTAATATTTTATTTATTTATTTATTGTTACTAATGAAAGGGCATTCAATTCAATGAAATGTAAATTGTTTTCTAAATGCTTGTTATTGATCTTATTGTAAATCTTTTGTGATAACTTAATCTTCTGGTGAAACTTCAGACTTCTCTCATGTGATCATCATTTTAATCATTTAGTCCTTTAAAACCCTTACAGAACCGGCTTTTCTGACAAGATGCGCGTTAAATATCGCATGCGATTTATCGTGCAGCCCTAACCCCACCCCTTTCTGACTACATTTTTTCTTATTGATAATCAGTTTCACTCGGATGTACATCGTAATACAGAATAAAACCTCCAGAATTTTCTGAAATTGCACTACTGTGCATGTTTATTTTCATTTGGCATTATTTCCCAAATGCTGTCAATAGAGCTTAACATCGTGAACCTGGAGCATTCCCTTAATAGAAAAGTACTGGTGTCAGGTGAGACAGAAGAGAATCATGAAGCTCAGCTGAAGTGCAGTGGTGAGGTTTGACCACATGTATTAAACATTTTTGAACACCTTCACAGAAAGCAGAGGCTGCTCTTCCCATGCAGCCTGAGCCGCTGGCAGAGACAGCGCCCCCTGCTGTTCATGTAAATGTAGGGGCCCTGAGTGCCAAGGATCTCCCGGTCACCCTCACTCAGGGGGATTTCAGCCCAGAGGCTGGCTCTCTCTTCCCACCTGCCCCTGAGCTAGCCCAACCCCCGTCTCCCGACCCCAACCAATCCGGACAACCAGGGTCAGAGTCCAAGGTACCTCGCTAGCCACCCTGCTCTGGACTGAAACCGGCCCACTTAACGCCCGAGCCCGGTGCCCTCTCTTATCGCCGTCTGGCCTGCCTGTGTGCTGCAGTGCTTTCCTCTAGCTCTTGCATGTGCGCTGTGTGCCTATTTAAGACAGCATCCGTTCTCCTTCTGTGAATGTGTGCGTGTGTGTGTTCATAAACAACAGTGGGTACGACAGAGGCCTGCTGCATCAGATCATAGTTCATGTAGCTTCAGGCAAGCCCAGGTCCCCACTGTTGCTTGCCTACTCTTGCATGGGTTTAATTTTCTGTTTTTGCTTGTTGAAGTAGAGCTAGTGAATATAATTGGTGCAATGAATGTGATGAAATGATTTAAAAATTATTTTGACTTATATTTACAACTTTGAATCTTTTCCCCCTCCTGTTACAACTTTGAAAGGTAGCCTTGTTGTTTACAACATACGAGTACGGCTTAACCAGTTTCCATTTTTACAGTTTTTATTCATACTTTTTCTGACAAAAGCGTTCTTTAAATTAAAATTTTCATATTTTATCAGTTTGTCATCTATTTTTAGTTGACAAAACATTTCATTGACAAGAAAGTGCAAAATTAAAAAAATATATATATATGGACATGCAACAAATTACATATTGTGGACATGTGTTTCCACGATTTTTTGGCCACATTTTATTATAAATCATTCTTTCATTTTAGTTAAATTGTGGCCATGTTTATTTCCTCATTATCATTGACAAAAGAAACAAACAAAAAACTTTTTTTTAAGTAATTAATGCTGGCTTCAACATTGGCTTAGACTTGTGATTCTGTGTCTAACAGACTAGACTGTTATTGTTCCTAAAAGGCTACGTCTCAAAATACTTTTTATTGTTTAAAGCGAATCGTTTTTGTATATTTCTTTTTCAGTGGGATTTTTCTGTCTGATTTTACCCCAGTGTTTTTGCAGCTTGGCGTGTCATGAATCCTGACTACATTTTTTCTTATTGATAATCAGTTTCACTCGGATGTACATCGTAATACAGAATAAAACCTCCAGAATTTTCTGAAATTGCACTACTGTGCATGTTTATTTTCATTTGGCATTATTTCCCAAATGCTGTCAATAGAGCTTAACATCGTGAACCTGGAGCATTCCCTTAATAGAAAAGTACTGGTGTCAGGTGAGACAGAAGAGAATCATGAAGCTCAGCTGAAGTGCAGTGGTGAGGTTTGACCACATGTATTAAACATTTTTGAACACCTTCACAGAAAGCAGAGGCTGCTCTTCCCATGCAGCCTGAGCCGCTGGCAGAGACAGCGCCCCCTGCTGTTCATGTAAATGTAGGGGCCCTGAGTGCCAAGGATCTCCCGGTCACCCTCACTCAGGGGGATTTCAGCCCAGAGGCTGGCTCTCTCTTCCCACCTGCCCCTGAGCTAGCTCAACCCCCGTCTCTCGACCCCAACCAATCCGGACAACCCGGGTCAGAGTCTAAGGTACCTCGCTAGCCACCCTGCTCTGGACTGAAACCGGCCCACTTAACGCCCGAGCCCGGTGCCCTCTCTTATCGCCGTCTGGCCTGCCTGTGTGCTGCAGTGCTTTCCTCTAGCTCTTGCATGTGCGCTGTGTGCCTATTTAAGACAGCATCCGTTCTCCTTCTGTGAATGTGTGCGTGTGTGTGTTCATAAACAACAGTGGGTACGACAGAGGCCTGCTGCATCAGATCATAGTTCATGTAGCTTCAGGCAAGCCCAGGTCCCCACTGTTGCTTGCCTACTCTTGCATGGGTTTAATTTTCTGTTTTTGCTTGTTGAAGTAGAGCTAGTGAATATAATTGGTGCAATGAATGTGATGAAATGATTTAAAAATTATTTTGACTTATATTTACAACTTTGAATCTTTTCCCCCTCCTGTTACAACTTTGAAAGGTAGCCTTGTTGTTTACAACATACGAGTACGGCTTAACCAGTTTCCATTTTTACAGTTTTTATTCATACTTTTTCTGACAAAAGCGTTCTTTAAATTAAAATTTTCATATTTTATTAGTTTGTCAGTTTTGCTCTGATTAAAATGGCTATCTAATTTTAGTTGACAAAACATTTCATTGACAAGAAAGTGCAAAATTAAAAAAATATATATATATGGACATGCAACAAATTACATATTGTGGACATGTGTTTCCACGATTTTTTGGCCACATTTTATTATAAATCATTCTTTCATTTTAGTTAAATTGTGGCCATGTTTATTTCCTCATTATCATTGACAAAAGAAACAAACAAAAAACTTTTTTTTAAGTAATTAATGCTGGCTTCAACATTGGCTTAGACTTGTGATTCTGTGTCTAACAGACTAGACTGTTATTGTTCCTAAAAGGCTACGTCTCAAAATACTTTTTATTGTTTAAAGCGAATCGTTTTTGTATATTTCTTTTTCAGTGGGATTTTTCTGTCTGATTTTACCCCAGTGTTTTTGCAGCTTGGCGTGTCATGAATCATTTAATCTCTCTTAAACTCTGAAACTATTTGTGTGATGGCTGCCTCCATTTTGACCTGTTCAATAACTGCCCACTCTGAGTCTTCCTCTATTGCAGGTCTCTCTGCTGACTCTGTGCTTCATTCTTCAACTTTTAATCCGAATATTAATCACTTCTGGTTTCTGCCGTTTTATACAATTCAATTGATTGCTGTGGTTTAGAGATTATATATGATTCTTTGTACAAGTCGTTTATAAGTATCCTTCTTTGGCTTTATCAACAGATGTACAAGAAGGATATCTATCGTAACAACGAGCCGGTGCAGGTTAACCAGAACCCTATGCAGCCCAACTACAACCCCCAGCAGCCCCTCTACCAGGAAGACAAGCCATACAGAGATTACGACCACCAGCCCTACTGCTACGATGGGGGCTACATGGAACCAAAGGCTCGTAATTTTGACCCCCACCTACATTTTGACAGCAGCATGCCTCCGTACGATGAGCAGTGGGCCCCGTATGACCAAACCTCTGGATACGATCCTCATATGCCCTATGAGGATGGTCTGAACCGCATATACGGTCATCCTCAGATGCGACATGACACAGGCTATGACTCCAGTCGACCTCGCTATGGCAAACCCAGCCCCGGACCGATCCGACATGATGAACCGCCCCCTGCGCGCCCGCAGTATGACCAGGAAGCACTCCCTCGTACTCAAGCCTCTTCCCGCTCCCCTGAACCCCCCAAACAACAGTACTATGACCCATCCCAGAGGCCTTCCTATACTCAACCCCCACAGAGGGGCTACGTGAACTCTGAGGCCTCTGTGACCCCTCCTAAACCTGAGTCCATCTCACCGCCAGTGGAACCTGCACTTCCTCTTCCTCCAGCTGAGGCAGAGGATGACCCAGCCATGAAGCCCCAGTCCGTGCTCACGAGGGTTAAAATGTTTGAGAACAAGCGATCCGTGTCTGTGGACAGAGCAAGAGAGTCTGCAGACACTGGTATTAGGGTGCGTTGACAGTCTGTATTTCTACTAACTAAATATACACTCTACAGGCTGAATTATTAATGTTAATTAATGTTAATCTTTCTGCTTCCTTTAGCCTGTGGACATGGTGCCTAAACCTGGTGCTGCCTCCATGCCCAAAGCCAATTCTTTAAGTAACCTGGACCAAGAGAAGGCCTTTAGGTAATGAACTAGCACATAAAGTATAAATCAAATCTCCAGCCATTAGCACACAGTGTATTTGTATCTATAAATGAATGCATTTTTTTACCCACAAAGTTCTCTACCGTTCAGAAGTTTAAGGATTTGTTTTTTTTTATATATATATGAATTTGAATTTATTCAGCAAGGATGCATCAGTATGATCAAAAGTGACTAAATACATTTGTAATGTTGCAAAAGATTTCTATTTAAAAACTGCTGAAAATTCAGTTTTGCCATTTACAGGAATAAATTACATTTTAAAATATATGAAATGATATTTTACATTGTCATATTTTTAATTATTACTGTTTTTACTGTATTTTTTCTCAAATAAATTTAGCCTTGCAGAGCATAACAGACTTTTTTTGTGCAAAAACATTACAAAAGAAATCTTACTGACCCCTGTGGCATTAGCCATAGTAATGAAGTTAGTCCTAGATCTCCATCTAGTGGTTGCCATTACCTCAACAGTATTCTATACATAAAGCATTTTAAGGTACACATACGTCTTTCCTCTGTCAGATCTCCAGAGCCACAGCAGCCCCAGCCTAAAGCAACAGATGATATCATTCGTTCAAATAACAATGACCCTGATGAGGATGAGGAGTACTACAGGAAACAGCTGTCTTACTTTGACCGCCGAAGCTTTGACAGCAAACCCTCTGCACAGCTGGCACCTGCCATCAAGCCAACCCAACCCCAGTCCCAGCCAGGGTACTACCCCAGGTACGTGTTCAAATACTTAATCATACTTAATGCAACTCTGCTTTTAGTAAAATGTGTATATTTGCATTTAGGTAAAGGGTCAAGTTTTATTAAATTAGACTTTTTTTCTTGTTTGGAATTGTAATATAAATTTAGATGGCAGTAAACATGATGGCAGAATATATGGCTTTTAGTTTAAATCTTGACTTCTTTGTTCTTTGTCTGCTGTCTGCTACAGGGCAGAGTCAGTGGAGAAGATCAACCCTGTTGCTCCAGCTAACCCAGCTGTCCCACCCCCGACCCTGCCCAAACCCTCAGGTACGTGATTAATGGAGAAATGATTGAATATGCTCCTTCCTACAACATAATACATACTTGTTTCCACAAAAAATATTAAGCAGCACAACTGTTTTCAACATGGATGAAAATAAGAATAGTTTCTTGAGCAACAAATCAGCATATTATAGTGATTTCTGAAGGAGACTGAAGACTGGAGTAATGGAATAAATTACATTTTTAAAATAGAAATAATTTTAAATGAAATATTGACTAAATAGTCATCAAGAGATGAATATAATGACTAAAACAAATCTGAACTCTTGTCTAAGGAGCTTATTTTCTATCTGTAAAGAAACTTCCACACATTCGTACACACATTTTTTCACATACTCTCTCACAGTCACTCCACCTCTCGACCCACACGGATCTCCCAAAGTGAAGCCTCCCAATCATGAAGACACAGTCCAGAGCACTTACTTGCCTCAGAAAAGCTTCCCAGACAAATCTCCTGTTAACAGCACCGGCGAACCTCCAAAGACCAACAGCACTACCACATCCAGCTACAACCGTTTTGTGCCCAAGCCGTACACAACCTCTGCAAGACCCTTCGAGCGCAAGTTTGACAGCCCCAAGTTCAACCACAACCTCCTGCCTAATGACTCTCAAAATAAGACGGATAATGTGAAAGCTCCCATCAGTACCACAACCAAACCACAGAGCTCGCCCCAGCCGATAGACCACGACAGCGGCCTGGACACCTTCACCCGCACCATGGATCAGAAACCCAAATACCAGCAAAACAACATCAACGCTGTACCCAAGGCAATACCTGTCAGGTATAGTAAAAACTAGCTCCGTAATTGTCATGCTTACATGTTTTTTTTTTTTGGTAAGTAGACATTTTATCCATACTGTAGTTTTTTTTTCTTTCAAAAAATGTTTAACTTTTTTTTTAATAAATATTGAATATTAAATACATTTAGGATAGTAGCCAACTAAACAAAGCAGATTATCACAATCAGTAGAACTAGATATTTGTATACTGATATTACATTTCTGCTATAGCTAGATTTTTCTTTTCTTTTTTTTAACACTAAAGAAAATCTGAAATTGAAAATCAGACTAAAAATAAGGTTGATCCGTTTTTCTTTCTTTTTCCAGCCCGAGTGCTTTGGAGGATGACGATGATGATGACAGCCACACGGTGGTGGCGACGGCACGGGGCATCTTCAACAGTAACGGCGGGGTCCTGAGCTCCATTGAGACGGGAGTGAGCATCATTATCCCTCAGGGAGCCATTCCTGACGGTGTGGAGCAAGAGATCTACTTCAAAGTGTGTCGTGATAACAGCATCCTGCCACCTCTGGACAAAGAGAAAGGTCAGTCACGCATCTTTTAATTCGAGGGTCATAAGATTCTGACATTTTTGTCTTTCTCCTCTGGTCTGTGAAAAAAGCTTGGTAATACAGAGTTTGATACTGATTCTAGTTTGTTACAGCCCCCCCCCCTTTTTTCAGTTAATGCAAGTGAGATTATCAGTACTAAATTAATAGCTTGATGGGAGTAAATGCTAAAGGAAAGTGTTTTTGTTTCCAGGTGAAACTCTGCTGAGTCCTCTGGTGATGTGTGGTCCCCACGGCCTGAAGTTCCTGAAGCCAGTGGAGCTCCGCTTACCTCATTGTGCGTCTATGACCCCTGATGGTTGGTCTTTTGCTCTAAAATCCTCCGACTCCTCGTCGGGTACGCTGTCCTCTCTCTGTCCTTTTTGGGGTCGTTTGGGATGGCTTTGTGACATCTTGTTTGGTTGTGGGCCTTTTTTCATTATGCATTTTCTTATTTTCACAACTCCATATCACAAATTTTTTGTTTACTTATTTTTTATTTTCCACTCATATAGCGTATCTCACTGACTCACTCACTCCAGTCTGCTCATGTGTTTATGTGGTTTAATTAAGGTATATTTAAACCAAGTGTCAATTTTAGCTCGACAATCAAATTAATTTTCATTTGTGACAATTCACTCTTAAAGCACAATAAAACTGTTCTCCTACCATTTAAAAATGTGTGGTCAGTAAGATGTTTTTTTGTTTAGCAAGGATGCATTAAATTGAGCAAAAGTGACAGTGAAGACATTTCTATTACAGAAGATTTCTATTTCATATAAATGCTGTTCTTTTGAACTTTCTATTGATCAACTTTCTATTTCTGAAGGATCATGTGACACTAAAGACTGGAGTAATGGCTGCCGGAAATAAAGCTTTGCTATCACAGGAATAAATGACATTTTTAAATTATATTTTAAGATATTTAAAAATTGAAGACAATTATTTTAAATTGATCCTAAACTTTTTAATGGTATTGTATATTGTATTGTATATAAGGGAATAAATACACAATTTTTTTTAAACTACATATTAAAAAATAAATATCCATTGTAATTTCCAGTATAATGAATGGACAATTTGCATTAAAGAAAGTAAATTTGTTTTGGCAGATGGTTTGTATTTTGCAGGGCCCAACAAATTTCGCATTGTGCTCTGTTTGAGTAAATCTAAAGCTGTTTTCACTGGGTAGATTTATGTTTTAGGCCTTTGTGTTCTCTCAATCGGTCACTGAATCACTCAATTTCTCCCTTGAGATTAGTTGAATAATCACAGATGAACATTACTGAAAAATAGGTTTTCCATCTTCACTTGGGTCTCATGATTTCATGAATGGGAATTCACATCTATTAATCATAATTCACTCACATTGTTTGTACTTTAAACTGATTCTCACACAGCCACCCAAATGTCTAAATATGCAGAGATGCTGGAATTGCCTTCGTCCCGCTATTGGAAAACAGCAAATGTTTTTCCCTAAGTCTTAATTTCTCTCTCTCTCTCTCTCCACTCATTCGTCTCTATATAACTCTTATTGGTAAACCTGGCACTGCCCTGAATTAGCCTCCTGATGAACCTCTCGCTCTGATTGTGCATTGGAGAGATGGGAGAATCCTGGCTCATCCAAAACCATTACAGGCCTTTGCCTCTAATCTGCATATTTTAAAACAAGGCTATTGTTTATCCGTAGCTCAAGGCAAATTTCCCTGCACTTTCCTGGAAAGAGAGCGTTTACCTAACTGATTTAACAAAGATGTTGTTCTGATGGAGCTCACGGTGGAGTATAAAAGGGCACTGAAATCCTCAGGTCATTATAGATTTATAAATGCACTACAAAACATCTAAGTATATGTGCAACTGTAGTGTAACCATTATTTTAATTCTTACGAATAAAGTGTGTAATTTCTGTACCACAAAATCAAACAGAACTATAATGTGTTTGTTAGTGTTTGACAACCAACCTTTTTTTTAAACTTCTGTTTAGTGCCGCTAGTGGTGCCGAAATTACACACTTCACCTTGATGAATGGAAAAACAACTTTGTTCTTATGCATTACAGCACCTTAGGCTATGAGTTATTGGTTCTTGCTCTGGCTCTGTTGATTATCTCTGTCAGAACAAATAACGCATGCTGAGAGCCTGTCTTATCGCTAAGCGTCCCGCTACGCTCCTCTCTTTTCCTCATGCAAACCAAGGGCTAAATAATAGCACAATATGATGCTGTTACAGCTGTTGAAATATGGTATAAAATAATGTTGTTTTTTTTTATGAAGATGATGTTTCTCCAAATGTGTGTTTTGTTTTATGTTAGATTTATGGTAGTGTTTTGTTGGCTTTAGTGTAGTGGATCTGACTAGAAAGCAAGCATGCATGCAGCCCTTTTCAACGTTTAATTAATACATTTGGCTGTCATTTATGCATGTACCTAACATATAATGCACTACTGTTCAAAAGTTTGGGGTCACTAAGTGTTTTTGAAAGAAGCCTCATATGCTCACCAAGGCTGCATTTATTTGATCAAAATACAGTAAAAACAGTATTATTGTGAAATATTATTACAATTTAAAATAACTTTTCTGTTTTAATATATTTTAAAGTGTAGTCCTCAGTGTCACATGATCCTTCAGAAATCATTCTAATATGCTGATTTGGTGCTTAAGGAATATTTATTATTATTATCAAAGATAAAAAAAGAGTTATTCTGTGTAATATTTTTGTTGAAACTTTTATACATTTAAAAAAAAAAAAAGATGTATTCACATTTGATCAATTTAATGCATTCTTGCTGAATAAAAGTATTCATTTCTTACAAAAAAAAATAAAAATCCAAATGTTTTTATGTGGTGGTTCATCTTTCTCTCCATTCGTCCATCATATTCATCTACATTTTCTCTGTATATCCAGGTGATCCTAAGAGTTGGCAGAACAAATCTCTCCCTGGGGATCCTAACTACCTGGTTGGAGCCAACTGTGTGTCTGTGCTTATTGACCATTTCTGAGGAGGGCAACAGCAGGTCCCGTTAGTGAATGTGGAACCAGATTAAAGGAGAGAGGACCTTCCCCTTATAAACACACACACACACACACACACACACACTTCCACAAGATGAAGGCGCTACGTGACACTAAATGAAGGGTCTCCTGACTGTGCTCTGGCTTTATTTACGGTAACCTCTGAGACTGGAGGGAGGGTTACATTCGGTGAAGTGCTGTTTTAATCTCCTCATCATTTTCCTCCTCTTCTTTTTTTTTAAGTGCTTTTAAAGGCTTTCGAGGATAACAAAAACAGACATTAACCATCGATGGACTACATGCTCTGTGCCACTGACCAACTAATACTCGCACTGTAAGCCAACTGTAATATCTTGCGACACATTAAGTTGTGTTGTCTATTTTTTAAAGGATTTTATTAGGTTCTTCCATTCAGTCTAGGCTACTTAAACGTATAGACTATATTAATCTGCAAGTGTATTTGAACTTCATGTAGTATGCACACTATAATGTTATGATTCTCATGTATAGTGTAGGGTGACCATACGTGCCATTTGTTTTGGCTTTGTTTTCCTGTTTTCATGCTTGCTGAAGGTAATGATCGAAAAGTAGTTTGACCAATAACATGCAAGCATTGTACATAATGGACCAGTCATGGCGTGTGAGAAGGTGGGATCTACGGTCAAAGCGATGCAATTACGCGTACATATTAGGTGTTTTCGACTTAAAAGCAGTGCGGCTCAGACCGATCAGTGTTTGACATCAAAGTACCTCGAGAGCGTTTCGAAAGCATAACCGTCTGTATGGTACTTTGATGTCATACACCAATCGGTCTGCACACGCAAACAAAGCCAAAACCTAGATATTTTAGGCAATATAGAAATCCTGGCCAGGACGCGTCCTGGGAAAATGGCACGTATGGTCACCCTAGTATAGTGCAACTTTTCTAGAATATCGAATTCCAGTTCTAGGCTTTTCAATCGAGCAGTTGAAGTGTACATCTGACACATTTCCTGACTTTTATCATGTCAAGGTGCAGGATCAGTGCTAGTTGCGTGCGCAAGTGTCAGAGAGAATCTCGGCATCTTAAGAATAATACAGGATGAAGTTTTCTAGCTAAGGACGTGTCACGTAAGGCTCACCTTTTTTAAATAGCTCCTTTGTAGACACCACTAGCCTCCTCACAGACCTGTGAACTTGAGCACTGGAACATTCCTGCAGTGTCGAGATCTATGCACGTGCTTTGACTCAGGTGTGAAGAACGCTGCTCTCTCCTTTCCCCTCTTTCTCTCCCAGATTCTTCCTCACTCTCTCTCTCTCTCTCTCTCTCTCTCTCACTCACTCCATCTAAAGCAGTGATGCCTTATCTGAAAAGACACTTTTTTCAATAACAAAAACCTTTGTGGTTTCTTTTTGCTAAGTTGTAATGATAAATTATGAAGAAACTGAAGTTGTCTTTCTGCCATTTTTGTCAACCCGCTGTACAAATAAACCTGGGTGTTGCACACAAGCGTAACAGCGTAAAGGATAAGAACAGGTTTTCTCTTTTTATCTGCTATGCACGTGACCTTTGAAGAGAAACACAAATAAAAGATGGAAGGAGATCAATTGGCTGTACATAAAGCTAGCATATTGCCTTCATTATTGGTTTGTAAATGACTTTTTTGTATGTCTTTATTTTGTATAAAACTTAAGGGGGGAAACATTTATAAAAGAGGATGAATGAAATGAAAACGATCGTCTTTGTATTCTGGTTCTACCCTTGAGCCTTGGAACGTGTACTTAGCAGTAATAATATCACATTTTCTACAGATAAACACTAAATATAAGCGTTTTTAATGATAACCTTTTTATTCTTTATTTACAAAAGAAAGTGCTTGATGTAAACTATTCTCAAAACCTGTTTCTCTTCAACTGTGTGCTTGAAATGTGTCCCACGCATTTATTTGTGATACTGGATGCTATATTGGGTGTCCTGAAATGTATTTTTGTACTAATAGACGATTTATTATGGCACACCGGAAGACTTTTATTTTATTTTTTCTTTATACAATATAACACAGCTTTGACTGGTTATTAGCTATTCACATGTGGTAGAGTTTGTTCCCTTTTCAACACAATTTCCAGTATGCCACTGTATTAAAAATAAAATCATTTTTAAAATACACGGTGTTATTTTATTGTAGATTTTTGTAGTTGTAGCTGCAGTACAAAAAGCATTTGCATAAAGATTACAGTGTCCCGCTATATAGGAGCAAGGTGACTTTGAAATTGTGTCTCATTGCGACAGCACACTGCAGTATAATGTGTAGTGACACTATTTGGCCTGCAGGTGGCGCAAATGCTTTATTGTGCACACTCCTTCAGAATGTTCAATGCGTTTGGCGATTATAAAACTGATTGTAATGATACTGTAGCTTTAATCGATTGGTTAAATCAGGCCCAGCTAAGTGGTCACATCTACTCATTGAATACCCAATGAAACTGCGTGCCTTGTTTCAAGAAATAATAAACAGTTAGTGAAGTGTTTCATTACCGTCAGAATTGCTTAACTATAGAAAGTTTCAACGTGTCATTATTTTACGATGAGGCAATTGTGGGGGAAAGAGAATGATAAATGTAGTATTCTTCGAACTTTTGTTTCATGACGTGTTATACTTTGAAAGCTACAATTTTATAGCTTATAAGTCAATTATTAAAAGTGGGGCTCTTGGTTTTCCTCTGTGACTGACTGCTGTTTGTATATGTAATGATTTATGTGAGACATAGCTATCTTAATACATTAACTATAGACCTTGTAAATATTACATGAACCAAATATGGTAATGTTAGATGTATCTGCGTATATTATGACATGTTTAACATCCTTCCTTTCAAGGCATAGACGATCTTTCAGAAGGGCAAACTGGAATTAAACAGGTCTGGTCATGTGACTGTTTTCTTCAACCGTGTAAAAAAATGTTCACATTAAATCAGTACAGTCTGCATTTCAATGTATAGAGAGCTCGTTTAAATTAGCCTACATAATTTTTTTATAAATACTCAGAAGTATATTTTGGTCATAAATGTTGCTGATGGAATTATATAAATTCAATACATTTTAATGTCATACAACTTTTCATGTCCGCAAATCTGATTGGCCGAAAACAATCATTTGCTTGGCAGATCAGTGATGAACCAAATATGGTAATGTTAGATGTATCTGCGTATATTATGACATGTTTAACATCCTTCCTTTCAAGGCATAGACGATCTTTCAGAAGGGCAAACTGGAATTAAACAGGTCTGGTCATGTGACTGTTTTCTTCAACCGTGTAAAAAAATGTTCACATTAAATCAGTACAGTCTGCATTTCAATGTATAGAGAGCTCGTTTAAATTAGCCTACATAATTTTTTTATAAATACTCAGAAGTATATTTTGGTCATAAATGTTGCTGATGGAATTATATAAATTCAATACATTTTAATGTCATAACTTTTCATGTCCGCAAATCTGATAGGCCGAGAACAATCATTTGCTTGGCAGATCAGTGGGCACTAACAAAGACGGTCGTTTCAGTGTTCGTATCGCTTCGCTTCTCCGTGTTTATGAAGGAGTAGGTCGGTGAATAGCTTTTTGTCTGTCGAAAAATTATTTTATCTAACAAATCGAAGCGATGTTATTACATCGAGGAGCGCGTTTTTAAAAGTTAAATGGTTGGCATTTTTTTATCGCTCCAGATAGCTCTGAACGGGTTTCTCTCTCTAGCTTAGAAGAGTGAAAATTAAAATCTGGAATGGCATTTCAGCGGAATCAAAACAGAACGCCTTGATTTAGGAAGGGAGAATCTCAGTCGCTCCGTTCCATTCACATACTTGGTTCCAGACCTGCTTTCATTATGTGCGTTGCTTGGTGACCTGAAGCTTGAAGCTTTGACTATTTTAGACAATAATATCCCTACTAAATTAGCCAATTTTGGTCTGAAACGAAAGTTGCCGGATGCTAATTACCAATTTTATAAAACCAGCATCACAATGGTCCAGTAGTATTTAATTTCTGCTAAGAGCCTTGCTAATATTCAGTACAGCAGCACTCTTTCTCTTGTGACATGCTTAAATGACATATTAACCGAACGCAAAGGCTCAGTCTTAAAGCCAGTTTAATGAAAAGTAACAATATGAATAATAAGTAAGATTGAGTAGGCTCATTATATCCATTCACGGACTCTGGCTTTTATGGCTCCACGAATGAGTTCATTGCCCGCATCCATCTATCTGAATCTACATATGGCGGCACGTCAGTCCATCTCCTCCTCTACCCAAGCACCTGCTCACACATCTAACTGACAGACTACTAGCGCGAGGCTGCGGCTACTGCTGTGGCTGTTCAAGATTCGAACGAACGTTATTACACTGGAGTCGAACGTTGTGAACGCGTCGTGGAACCTCAAACCGCGTCACATTCGCGCGATCGATGTGAAGTTCGTTCCTCTGAATACGAGCTTTATTATTTAGACGTTCTCTGCTCAGAGCCGTGAGAGATTTCATTAACGGACTGTCACGGCTGTGAACGGATTTGATGGATCACCTATCCTGTGAGTTTCCTCGAAGCTGGCGACCGACCATACAGCGCGCGTTTACGCAGAGCTTACCTCATTGTCTTACTGAAATGATTTGGGATAACGCTAGTTGAAACACCTGCTTGAAAACGGCGCACTTACACTGAGAGCAGCACATCGTGAGGTTCCTCGTGTAACGGGATGACGGTCTGCGCGTCTTGGCAACACGCTATGAATTCGTCTTTACGTTGTGTATGTCTGAGCGACTGAACCCAGAGGTGTCCTGTAAACCCGAAGCCCACTGATTTAACTCAAGTTTTGGTTTCGTTTAAACAGTTTAGTCGTGACCATGCCCGTCAGCGCAATGCCGAGGGGTCGGTCTCTGAGCCCGGTATCTCTGTCCCGCAGCCTCTCGCGGCTGAGGGAGTTTCGAACCCGGACTCGCATCATGCTTTCTCTGGGAGTTTCACAGATGGTGCTCGGGAGTCTGATTTTGGCTGTCAGTTTCGCCGCTTTGGCCCTCACTACATCTCCGAGGGTGAGACATTCGTGTCCCTTTTGGGCTGGATTCTCGGTAAGTTGTCTTTATTGTTGAACGATAATGTATTTTTGTGAGTTTTCCCTGAACAGAGGGCTGATATTACGCGCCATTTGTGACCCCCAGCAACTGCCGAGTCAGCAATCACATCACGCGCGGCTCATTTTTAGTCTTCTAATTAAATTCTCCAGCTCATCATAGAGAGCCAGCGGTACAATATTCACCAAATGCCAAATTAAGTAGCCTAGAAATAATTCGGGGGGCAGAGGGACTCTTTGAAGCTGCTTTATTGCTTGCATGGGCTCAGGTGAGCTCACCTATGAAAGGCTGTGTGGTTGGTGAATTGCCCCTTATAATGCAGCAGAATGAAGCCAAATGCTTAGAGACGATCAGGCACATTCATTTGCACCTCACTTATGCCTGTTGATGTTCTGTGTGAAAGTGTTTCAACAGGCTGTTAGTTTCTGGCTAGTATTGATTAATGCATCCTTGTTAGATTTTCAGACAGGAA